CATTAAAGATGGTCTAAATCACTGGTGCAAAAACTCTGCTGAGTATGAAACATGTCTGTCTGTGGTGGAAACGGCCATTCAAAAAGCTTATCGGTACCGTTTGCAGCGTTTTCTTCAAAATGACACCGAGCTGCGCAGAGGGATGTTAAGCAGTGTACGGCTGTAGGTAAATTCATTCATTACATGGAGAGGTTAAAGACTACCTCCACATCCAGCTCTTACAGCTAAAGCTTTCTGTGTCTCACTGAGAGGAAAGTAAACGCAAACTGCCAAAAGGGCGAAAGTAATAACAGACTATTGTGTTAACTCCCTCCAGAGGAGCCTGCCAGCCATAAAAATAAAATGAAATTGATTTTGATGTCTCAGCGCTGATCCTAGTCATAAGAAACCCAAATAGTAAGGTCCCATCTTCATGAGTAGAAGGCCTACAGCATATGTGTTTCAAATAAAACCTGGTTATCAGATACATGTGGCAGACTTCTAACAACAACAACAACATAATAATAATAACAATAATAAAATCCCCAAAAGGGAGTTGATCCTATAGACGGTACATAAAAGATGGACCTAGCCACAAGCAATGTTTTTTTTTTTTTTAAGTTAGAAATCATCCAAATATAATTCCCTCGAAGTCAGCAGGTGTAAATTTATAGCTGAAAACAGAAAGGGTGACATCGTGGTTGCTATGCCCATCGTTTATATACCGTTTATGCTGTAATTTTGGATATTAGCAGGATAGTTTTGAACTTGGATATCAGAAAGTAGCGTATGATATCTAACAAGCAGGGTTCAGAGTTATTAAACTATAATTACATTTACAGTATATAACCTATTTGTATTTCATGCTATATTTGGTGTCTGTTTTACAGCTGATCAGAAATCAGTATTGTAATGTGAGCAAAGGGTGCGATTCTATTCTTTGCATCTGAAATGATCACAACAAAAAAGCGTCGGCACATAAATGTAGAAACAACCGCATCTCTTTCCATTCGTAACATTTCCATTAAAGCGACTTATCAACTGAGCCTGGTTATGTAACGCAGAAATGTGTCTGATGGAGCCAGCTAAGTGTGTTTACACGTGAAGAACAAGAGCACACAAGCGGCAGAGGGAGATCATTAATCACAGCCAAGCTGGCTACGAGCTGACTTCCTCTTATCTTCAACAAGACGCCCATAAAAAAATAAACACACACAGAAACAAAGAAAAAGGTTTTAACTATGCACAGTTCTCACTTACCTCTCATCAGCCTCGCATTCCTCTCATGATGAGATTGTAGTTTTGATTGGTGTTACTGCTGATTAATGTGAATATCTGTGACATCGTTGCTCAATATGCAGAAATATGCATTAAACAAGTGTCTGCAGATATGTTCTGTCCCTTTATGAAACACACGAACGATCTGTGTCCTAAGCGTGGTCATCTCACAGTTTCTGTAAGCTGCACATAAAATGGACGAGCTGAAATCAGTGTGGGAAGATTCAGAGTTGGCCCCAAACAGAAGAGATCTCAGAAAGACGAGACTTTCTTCAGAAAAGTGTGGAAAAGCATGCTGGTGTATTTTTCTCAGTAGGACATCGATGATTTAGGAGACCGCAGTGAGTCGAACAAGCGTATAAAGGGAAATGGCTCTGCGCTGATGAGAGACCACCGACGAGACTTCATTCAAGTGCCAGTGCGACTCGATTACGGCTAATTATAATGCAAATTCATCAAATACTTTTATTACTAGTACTGTCTCTAAAAGTAGTAAAAGGCCATGTCAGTCTTGTTTTGTAAAAACTAGCATAAAAAGCACAGAGTATATTTATTTACAATAATCTAAAATAAAAACAACTCACTAACGCTCATATTTGACAGGATGACGATACAACTATTGCTAAATTACTGAAGATTATTCAGTTATGTTGTTTTATATTCAGTGTTTTCCTGAGTTTAGAGTTCATGAATATCAAAGGAGAAGAAAATGGTTTCTTTTTTATTCTATTCAGCTTTTTTAAAAAACATTTTATTTCTCTTCTTATCATCCTGGGATTCTGCAAATGTACTGACCTTGTAACTCTTGCAGCATTAATCATAATGTGAAGTACTGATGTTGATATTCTTTCCATTGAAACATGATAATGTTAAACTGGAGGATGAATAAAACTGTTCTAATGAGCATAACCTAAACCTAGAGTCCAAATAACAAACACATCAGACTGTGTGCTGTGCTTAAAGAGAAGTTTTGCTGCCCCTGAGAACTGCCCGCTTTAATATTAACATCAGTCTTGAGCTGGAGGAACGAGCGGCAGTTACTTTAATCTGTGTTTTCTCTTCCTCGCTGCTCTAGAAGGCACCAGTGAGCTGTGCCATCATTTAATTAAAAGTTAGACAGTGGAGGATGCTGTAGTGATGGCCTCATTTCATGGAAGGAAGTAAGCAAACTTTCAAGCTTGCTGCTGCCAGAAAACACCCAGATCCTTGCTGTATGCCATGCTACAAAAAGGCAGATCTGTGTTTCACCTTTGCCTGGTGTCACTTGTTCCTGCCAAGACCTGATTCCCACGAGAGCCCTTATGATGCACAACAAGAATCTGGCTTTTTAAACATGCTGTTGCCCTCTGACTGTGCTAAGGCTAGTCAGGAGGTCCACAGTACATGCTAGCATACTCAAAAGGTGAAGACGTGGCTGCTCTTGCTCGGAGCTTTCACACCCAATAATACATTAAGGCCCAGAGGGAATGACAGACCCTGTGCTGGTGTTCCTCATGCTGCAGCTGAACCCCCCCACCCAGCCCCCCGTATCGATTTTTGGAACGACCGACTTGGCCGCCCCCTTCGTGCTCCAGCAGCCATCCACTGCGGCAACACTAACAACTAAACAATAATTACCTCCCCTGCTGCTCCCACAGAGCAGCACAGGGCGACTTCTTCAGCCTTTATATGTGCTGCACAATTAGCTTTTTAGCCTCTGATCCCTGTTTTCTTTGCAGTATAACAATAAGTTAAAACCACATTGTGTATGACTTCATGATATATGATGACCTCTCTTTCTGTAAATTTTTGTAAGTTGGACCAGAACTGATCTCTAAATAGTATCAAGTCAGCTAACAATGACCGTAATACATTTCAGGGGAAGGGAACTTACAATACATACTTTGGACCAGTGCTCTGTTCAAACAGCAATAGCTGATGTGACAGAGAAATTACCTCTAAAGAGACGTGTGAACCTCTGTTTTTACCCAGTGCAGCTGCAGGTGAGTACTTGTTTTGTGCTTGACAGGCTGTCAGCAGATGAAGCCCCATATTCCCCTTTACACTGAGTTTAATTTGATATCGTAAGTGCTGACAACACATATAAGCTTCAGAGGTCCATCAATCATACATTCAGCATATTGCTAACACCCAAATATACAAACATAAACAAGTGTGTGTGACATTTGAGTAAGCAGACAGCCAGCTGTGGAGACAGCAAAATCTGCCTGAAACTGACTTTATGACGCTGCAGCTGTAACAAAAGCGATTTCCGGATTGAAGCCAATTAAGGCTAACCTATATAAGGCTGCATACGTGTGCAAACGTTAACTAAGAAGCATAAGAACATAAAAGGATATCATCTTCCTTCCCTTTGCATCCTCACTCTCTATCAGCCTGTCAGATCACAGCAGCTAACAGCAGCATCTCCTGTGCAGGTTGTATAAGAGGGCACGCCCACCATGTGTCACTGCAACACCTACAGATGAGAGCGCAGAGACTTGCACCGTCTAATCACGCCTCCGCTCAAGCAGTTACCGGGACACGAGAGAAATATGCCTCACTCAACCCATTCACCTGGCCTAGATACTGTCAACAAATATTATGCAACGCCGATAAGTGCAGCAACTAATGACACAGATAAATTATTAAAAGTTGTGGGAGTGCATTGAACAGTTACCAAATAGATGTAGTCAAGCTCCTTTTATCATAATGCTTGTTTTTTTCTTAAACTGGTGCAACACCGGCGATCATAGCCATGTTAGCTTTGGTTAACATGGCTCATATTATATTGGTGCTATATAAATAAAACTGAATTTAATTTACAGAAATTTAAATCTAGCAGGACATAAGCAATTTTTATGCATCAGCATCTATTTTGCTTCTGTTGCTTTGTCAGATCTTTTCTTTAGGTGCAACATCTCTACAGATTCTTTGATTTATTAGTATAATATATAAGAGTTTCATCACTTTTTTCCCATAGACTTTTTATTTGGGTTCTTAAGGTATTTTATACACATTTTAGAGGCAACATTTAAACAGCATGTACAGGATAATGCTCGTTACCCAAATCATCAGTCTGGTAGGTCTAAAACCCACATGGCTTTATTTTGTCTACTCTATTGGGGAATAGACTAAATATTACTATGTCTGTTGGCATCTACTGTTTTATGATCTACACTAAAACTCCAGTCTCAATTAAAATTTGTGTGTTGTTGTCTGAGTGGTAACATTCGCTATCTCCACTTCCCCTCAGAGACCGGGTACACAAAGCACGAATGCACGGTCGGGGGCCACATCCCATTCAGCTCAGCACGTCCTATCCCATCAGCACCGGCAGCAGTCACGGATTACTAGGCGCACTGAGGCTCAAATCCCATCAGGAGGAGGGAAAGCATCTGTGAGCCAGGAGGAGCCGAGTGTGTGGTAGACTGAAAAGTCAGCACGAGTTCACTAAAAGTCTCTGTTGGCGTTTCGAATTTTGACACTGCTGAAATAAAGATGGAGTGAATTATGTGAAACAGACATTTTCAGCAGAAGCTGACTGGCAGGTTGTCTGCGCCACATGCTGGCCTGAAGCCAGCCGGATCACATTTTTTTGGCACTGGCATTTGTAGCCATGCTGCCATGCATTTTTTTAAAAGAGGTCCTGCAGATAGCCATACGGATACTGGTGATCCATAGACATCTGCTTTTTTCTTTATTGATCCACTGAAGAAGCTGCACACATTTACATTGACCGACACACACACTCACACACTGACCTGCATCTCCTTGTCCCCATATTTGGACGGGTGCTTGCTGCCCTGGCTCTTCCGGCGCAGTTTCTTTAGCTCTGCCTGGCACTTCTCCAAACTCTCCCCTTTGCTCTTGTGCTCCATCTGGTACTTCTTCAGTGCAGCCTGGGGGGGAAGGGGGGCAGCACAAAGTCAGCAGGGGCACAGCAGAGCTGCTCGCACGTGTCAGCATCAGCAGATGATGTTTCACACTGACAGAGGCAGACATTTATTTGACAAGTGGTCAGCTTCTGCATCACTGAGACAGGAGAACTGAGGTCTCTTATTTCTCCTCCTCACTCCCAATATTTTGTTTCCTGATCGGATGCTTTTCTTTTCTTTGTGTATCACATGTATGTATCACAACATCAACTGTAGCGTGTTCAAGTCAATAGTATGCATTATATAATATGTTCCTAACAACTTAAAGGAACATGCAAATCAAATTAAAGCATTCTTTTGAAAACATATTTGAGTGACATTCATCCAAAAGCCCTCCAAGAGTGCTTAGAAACCCTTTGTTTAGCATTACATAACGCTCTGGGGGCTGATTCCAAACACAGATCACCCCAAATAAATTCCTCCACTTAATTTTGTTCTTTTTGTGCAAAACTCCTCAGTTTCCCAGAATTTCTCACTATTCACGGGACAGAATAGGATGTGATTTATGTAACTTGCTGCAGTGGTTTGGATGAAAGCCGGTGGAAAATTAAGGAGTGCATTTTGACTCCGAGCCAGTGATTTTATGAGAATGTGGTTCTTACTGTATTCCACATAAATTCACTCCCATGAGAGGTCCAACAGGATGTTTTATTCAAGCTCGTGGTGGGGCAGGTGTCCTGTTACATAATGAATCTGAATATTATGCCATCAGAATCTCCTCAAGCAGTAATTCTTATCACAAGTGGTTTTCATAAAATTCATGCAATTAAGCCGGGATCTTTTTTTCCTTAAAATGAAACATGAAGAAGTACCCAACGAATGTCCATGAAATGCTTCAGGAAAGCACAAGGTAGACGTAACTAAACGGTATCATTGTCTATGAACGTCTACAACATTTTAGAGATGAATGAAATTGACTGAATCAAGTAAAGGCTAGCTAGTGTCCATCAGTTAGTCTTCTTTTAGCGCTGCTTTGGTCTCCACCAGTTTCTCCAGGTGGTTTCTAAACCAGTCTGCAGCTTTTATTCCAACAGCACACAGCAAGTATTTTTCAAAGTGATGCGTTTGAACTAAACAGCAACAGTGTAGCCAAACCAAAACAATAAGCTAGAAGAGGCTGAAAGGCCCATCAGAGCGGCACAGTTTAGTGACTTGTGAAGAAGGGAATCTCACATTCAGATATCGCGCGTCCAGCTCGACCTTCTTCTCCAGCTCTGTGAGCAGCTCGTTGTGGAACGACTTTAACTGCAAGACACAGAAAAGCCTCAAACACAATGCAAGAAACAACAAAATGCACTGAAACCTCAAGCAGTCACATGATCAACCACAGCAGATTATTTTTAAAACAGGAACGTCACTCATGAGTTAGTGTTGGTGCAGAGGAATGCCGTGAAGTGTGAGACTTTTCCAGTTACAATGCAAATAAAGGAGGGTGTCTGGCAGTGTGCACCGAGTTTGCTGCCTGTGTGCACGTATAAGCTGAGAGAACACAGGACAGTATAGACTGGATTCTGCACATAATATACTGTGACCTTCCTTCTCTCCTTTGGATATGTTCATATAACCCAAGTTCTATTTAACTTGCTGAGAGTCAGCACCGAATGAAATATTTGCATAAAAATGTAATATTTGCTCAGTTTCTAATCTGCATCTTGTACCACTGCACAAAAAAATATCATTATTACCTTGAATCTTTGACACCTATTATCCAAAAGATCAAGGATTCCAGTTGCAAAATACCCTTTAACACAATTTGCATAAACATTAAAGACAGGATGCTCCTCGCTGTTTCTTTTTGTTGACTGAGCGTTTCCTTCTAATGTTGCCACAATTGGCCAATTTACTCTTTGCTGGATTCAAATAAAGACCTTTTGGAGAAGTGAAATGAGAATGTTTTCAGTCTGTAATGACTGTAATTTACATATCAGAGTATCAGTAAACAAACCATAGCAAATAAAGAGAGTTGCTGCCATTAGAAACTGGATTTACAGTAGAAGCTACTCGTGTACAGTAGGGAGTGTGTCCTGCTGGGTATTAAATGTTAAAATATATCGTGTGACTCCAAAGCAACCATCCCACAATCCGTCTGGCTCGAGGCTTAAGAACTGCTGATTTTAGCAACACCTCCACCACATGCTCACCATCTCCTCAAGCTGGATCTGGATCTGTCTGTGCACTTCAGCCATCTGAAAGAGCACATCCCCTGGAGAGAGAAGACAAAGAAAGACAATAAACAAAAAGAGAGAAGGGAGGGGAGGGAGAGAGGGAAAAAAGATAGCGATATTAAATCATTCAAACTCTGTGTGAGAGCAACACACATCGTGCAAAAAGAGAGACCATGCAGCTGCGCAAAACAGATGAGAGACAGGTGTACGGTGTCGAGGGAAGAGGACAAAATGAGACAGCTCGTGATATCGACGAAGCAGACGAAACTCAAAACAGTGACAAAAATTAAAAGTGCACTCGAGAAATATGCGCTAATGAATGAAAAATAAGAGTGTTAACCAAGAAACCTACTGAAAGTATGTGGATTTCCCTTTTACCAAGAGCTTACAACACTACTGCTAAGAAACACACAGGAACAGCATGGTAAAAGAAAAAATCTTTAGTATTTCATCCTTGCAATAAGACATATGTATTACTACAACATAACAGGGGGAAACACCAAGAAGCAGACCCCAGAAAGAAATCAAAGCTAAAAATAGAGAACGAAACAAAACACAAAAAACTAAGTAGAAAGTAAAGGATGATTCATGCAGCCAGGGAGGTGCGCATTGTTTTAAGATACCTACATGCTGCCTCTTCTGAATACGCAATGCATTGTAAAAAAACAAAAAACAAAAAAAGGAACAAAAAGATCTAGTTTGAGCAAAGAACAGAGGGATAGAGACCTGAAGAGACAGTGACAGATCAAACTACCCCAGGAAAAATGAGACACACAACAAGATTTCACACAGAAAAACACTCAGACAGGCAGTTAGTCTGACCCTGCCCTTACAAACCATCTACGTGCTCTCCGCATCACCAGAGCTCAGACGGACACTGGATTTTTCATGCAGATGTTAGGACTGACTAAAAACTGGGGTATTAATTTGGTCGTGAAATGTATTATTTAAATGTTCGTGTCGGCTTCTTGTTTGTCAACGAAATACTGTCCAGCGTATGGAAATCAACACACGTAAATAGGGGAAAACTGATATACTGGCAATTTTGTTTTTTTGATATTCATCAATAATTTTGGATTGGCTACATTTTAAAAAATTGTGAAATTACAAATTTCTTTTTAAACATATTTTTATCTGAATCCAAGCACTTTTTAAAACATCAGCCCAGATCAGTGCATCCCTACTTGTATGCTTTGTAAATTCTCAAATTTCAGTATCTGCCTCAAAAACCCAGCATCAGTGAAGCTCTACAAACAAGGTACTATACTTTAATACTAAAAAGTAATGTACTAGTAACATTATATATAACCTATAAATGAAAGGAAACCTAATATTCTCACATGCCTTAAGAAAATAATAGTTAATCATCTATAAAAACAAACACATCTCATAGAACATCCTGTACATGTACTGCAGTTTCTTATTGCACATCTACCATAATATTTGGAAATACAGAAGTTTTTCCCTTTTCTTAGACAATATAAGAATATAATATTAATAATATAAGACACTAAGTAAACCGCTCTTGGTATTTTATGAAAAAGCCTAAATTAAAGTACATCTTACAGCTGCAGCGGCACCATAAAGCACCCGATTTATTCCAAATGAACCCACTAATATATATTAATGTCACTCATCTGCCTCCTGCATAATGCATGCTGACATTAGATAATGTACGCCGCTGCAGCGCTGACTTGAAGTGAGTCTGAGCGAAGGGTGTATGCGAGTGTGTTGGTAGACCTGTGAACACCGGACAGTGGACAGTCAGAGGGGACACAGAGAGTGGGCTGCCTGGACAGGATTAATGGGCTTAATGGAAGTGCTGTGTTCATGCAGATGAGATAGAGGGGATTTAGGAAAGGTCGGAGCAGGAGGAGGTGGGGGCAGAGGTGGAAGGAAAAGAAGTTTATATTTACTTAAGGGGACTGGATTTAAGTCTGCATCCAAGCTTCTGCTAAATAACTTGAGTATTTCAGATAGATGTATAGCAGCTGAGGTCAATACCAGCCTTTTTTCTTGCCGTCATTCTTCCCTACTTTCCCCTATTTGCTTCATTTGCAACAGCTTCTGCCTGTCACTGTCAGTATAATAAGGTAATCTTATTAGTCCTACAAAACACACAAAGTAAATGGTTTCTGTTTTCTTGCTAATAGCTATCAGAGCCGTGCAGCACATCCCTCTTTTGTAAATTTGCTGTCACCAGTTTCTCAGTACAAGATTTTAACTTCTGCAAGATGTCATCCTGGCTGCCCTTTAACCTCACACAAAACTCCAATGTCACACACGAGGCAAACCTGACTCATGCATGCAGAACAGAAAGCCACACAGGGGAGTTGAGCCCACAGCCCTTCTCATCCAACGCACCAGCTTACTTTAAAGCCTCCTGCTTCCTTATGAAAATGCACCGAAAGGCTATAACGCTGTGGAAGTGTCTGACTGCCGGCGAATAGGGCGTTGGGGCCAGCGAGGCAGATAAATGCACTGATGTGTACTTTCAAAACTCTCCTTTGATTCTTGGAGGACACCCAACGCACATTCCCATCCCATCCATTAATAAACAGCCGCTGGCCATCGACAAGCGACGGCGACCGGGCTGAACTCAAGCACCTCTATCACACACAACTGCACCAATGTTGATTTCAGCCAGAGGGGGGTAGCAGAATACTGAAGAGAGGGCGCAATTAAAGGGGCATTCATTTCTAGAATATAACAAAATATCAGATTCTTGGGGAGGATTCAACTTCCTTGTTAATTTATTTCTATTATTCTCATTTCTGGCCATTTTCCTTTATATTTCCCTCTGAGAAAATATTCAGAATTTCTCACCATATATTAGCAGAAAATGTCCAAATAGAGAGAAACGAGTGTGTTAAATCACACAGGTAGCCCTCAGACATTAGTTTCCATACTTCCTCCCTCACTGCCAACAAAACTGCCTCTCAGCTGGTAATAACATTTAAAGAACTGGCCTTGGTCATATTTCTGGGTTTTTAAATATGTACCTGCAGGCTAATTTACGTTGTTCTTCATTGTCCCTGAGGAGGAAGACTTCTCTCTCTGATTCTCATCCCCTTGCAGGCCAGAGTTCAGTCTCCACATCAACATACTGAGAGCATCTCACTTTAACTTTAGAGACATTCACTTCACTTTAAACTTTAGAGCAGCAGATGGTGACCCTGCCACCAGCTGCTGAAGCATATAAAAATAAATAAATCCTCGTTTGAGCTTTTATGCCTTCAAGGGCAGTTCTGACTGATAACAAGCTGGCATGGGAGCATAACTATCACCACAATGTCTGCAATTTAGTAAGAGACAAGCAGCTGAACAATGAAGCAACGCATATGTGCCAAAAACTGCAATACCTCTAATGACCACTTGAGGCAGGCTCTAAAAGTGAGACGGTTACGTTTAAATATTCAACTTTACAGCAGAAATAAGCAAGTTTGCAGCCTGCTACCAAAAACTGAACCACACAGCTTAACTACATTTGTGCTGTTATTGCCTTTATTGGCACTTTTATCAAATTATCTGATAAATACCTTACCCTTCATTCTAATTTGTGTTGTACAGTTATTTCATTTTTAAACCTTAATTTATATTTTATTCCTTCCTAGTTAAATTTACCCTTTTTAATTTTTCATATTTATTTCCTATCTTATTCATAGCCTTTTCCTTTTTGTTTTCTTTAGGTCACGAGCAGTTGTCCAAGCATTTCACTACATATCGTACTGTGTATGACTGTGTACGTGACAAATAAAATTTGAATTTGAATTTAAATATGCTCTACTGAGAGGTAGACCTTCAGTTACGGTGGTGTTCTGGTGTTTTATTTGTCAAGCAGCACAATAATAAACAGCAATACACTATACAGTGCAAAGCCAACAGCAGATCTCAGTATGGCTGCACCGATCTTCTATAAATAAGTAAAATTTGAAAGGCATCTCCTGATCCATTTGCCAAAGTTCAATACTATTACAGCCAATGGGAACAAGGGTCAAAAAATTAAAACCAACTTGTAATAAAGAAAAAAACTGTTAAAGAGCCAACAGGTCTCACAGTGCTCCTCTGTGGCTTTGACCCACAGGCTTTTATCACCTGGAAAATCCCCAAATTCCTGGATGTTCTTGTTTAATTGCACCCATCTAATCCAAAATCTCTCCACCTTGCATTGTGAAATATCGGACTTCTACCCGGCAGAAGTAAGCTGCTTACTGTTAATCAGAGCCGATCACAACATCTGAGGCTTAAAAGGGAGTAAAACACTCAGCACACGCAGGTCCAGATCAATTAAAGATTAAATACACAATCGCTGCTTTTGTCTGCAAAATGTTCTCACAAACCAAGACTCAAGCAGGCCACACTCTCACAGTTAGTCGCATTGTCTTCCACCTAGGATGACATTGTTCCTTCATGCTGTTCTTGGAAAAATTAACACAAAAAGGACACATCTAGCTAACAAATGAAAACCTAATGCTCAAAAGCAATTAAGTGAGATTCAAAGGTTTACAGCACACATGAGAAAAACACAACAGCTCAACATAGATGGGCTGAGAAATAATGACTCATAAATGCTGAGAAACCAAAAGTGGAGTAAAGTTGATTTTAAAAGAAAAAAAGCAGCAATCACAGTTCGCTCAACACTCCAGTGACTCAACTGCCAAACCACACTCTGTCAGTGGATATGTACAGTAAGAGCAGTTCAGACTGCAGGGTGGGAACAAGCCCATTACTCATTTGGGCAACCAAAGGGCAGCGCTAACATCTGGGTTTATTACCCCAGCTACTTTCCCATGCAGCTCCTGGGCTTTAAAGAGTGAGAAGGAGGGAGTGAGCCACAGTTAATGGCCATATGAAGGAAAGTGTTTTATGTAGTGTGCATCTCTGCAGGGACTGTATTATAGAAGGCTGAAAGCAAACAAGCAGCTCTAATCCCCAGAAAGCTGCAGTGAAGGGAGTACAAGGTGCTGCGGGGAGATTTGTCCTCCACAATGCCACATGATTGACACCGTTATTGTTGTGCTCTTCTGGGTCTTTAATTTTGCTAAACACCGGCTGCATCAGGGTGCATATAAACACCCCCGAGAACATGTGCAAATTTCCCCAGAAGTAGTAACAATGCTTGATTTAGCATTCAGATTTTAAGTATCCACTTGACAACAAAGTAATAACAAGTTTTTTTGTTGTACTCGCAGTTAATCTGCATAACTTTTGGTGCATCTGTAGTCCAGCTATAATCCTGCACTCCACCGGCAGTAAGAACCCAAGCTGACATGTTAAAAGCTGTCACTGCGTTTCATCTTATAAATTACAATAAGGGCACAAATCCCGCTGAAGTGAGTGTAAACATGTCATCTTAGATCTGGGCTGTTTGACGTCTTCGCTTCTGCAGTTTATCGGAAAGAAAAATGAATCTTTTAAAAGCGCGATCGAGCTACAGGAGATCGATAGGAATGACTGGCTATACATAATCATTACGTGGTGGCTGATGGGGTGCTAAATGAAGAGTGATCATCTGTGGCAGAAGATGCAAGCTGCTACAAAGACGCAGGCACAGAGTGGTGGATGGGATTTCGACAAATCAACAGAGACCCAGGCAGGTAAACACAATTTGTGTCATCTTAAATCATTACTTCTGACCT